AAGTTCATTGATAAGGTGTCAGATTCTACAGCTCAACTAACCATTGATAACCTATAGTGTTTTAGTGTAGTATCGAAGAGGAATATCCTCAGCTGTCTGAAATAGCTATTAAAATACCTCTTCCTTTTCAACCAAAGAACATACTGCAACAGATTGAATGCACAATAGATATAAGAATCCAGCTGTCTTCTCCTAAGCCAAACATTGAAGAGATTTGCAAAACTGTACAATAATGACACTTCTTACTAAGTATGACTTGGGAAATATAGTTATTTTGTGATAAAAATTATGTTAACATGTAATGGATTTATTATAATTTTAATGAAATGTGTATATGTATATTTATATTCCTTACTTTTGATTTCAAAAATGGTAAATATTAATAGGTATAACCCATTTGAACAGAAACTCTTTAGGGTTCCCAATAACTTTTAACAACGTGAAGGGGTTCTGAGATCAAAAAATTTGAGGAGCTGGGTTAGATGTCTCTTTCTAGAGACCAGAACTTTGGCTTTAAATGAAATGAGGTTTTTTTCGTTGTTTGTTTAATTGTTTGGGTGGATCTTAAGGATTGGAACTACTTGCTTACATTTATTTCCTCATGGAATGCACCCAATAGAGTAGTATTTTACAAACTCTAGTTAATTATGTCCTATTAGGTATGGAAGCAATTGAGAAGGTTGTAACTAGTGTTTTTATTATAATATAATGGGGATATAATGGAAAATGCCAGACTTCACTACCCAGACTAAGTGCAACTATTGTTTCATGAAACTATTTTTTTTCAATTAAATCTATATATGTATATAGGAATATGCATGTTTGAACTGGGTCATCATGGGAAATGTTTATGTCACTGTACATTGCTGTAAAAATTCTTAAAGCCTTTGCAAGAGAGATCTTACAATGCTCTTACAAGTGGTTGTATTAACCCAGCCTCTGCTTGGGTTGACCTCATGCTGTTTTTTTTTTAACATCTTTATTGGAGTATAATTGCTTTACAATGGTGTGTTAGTTTCTACTGCATAACAAAATGAATCAGCTATACATATACATATATCCCCGTATCCCCTCCCTCTTGCATCTCACTCCCACCCTCCTAATCCCACCCCTCTAGGTGGATACAAAACACCCAGCTGGTGGGAAGCAGCCACAAAGCAGAGGGAGATCAGCTCGGAGCTCATGCTGTTTTGATTCTTTGCAGCACTGGCTCTGGTTCCCAAAGCCATTCCTTGATTTCTTACCCAAGGTCCTTTTTGTCTTTGTTGGCTTCCCCATAACAACCTTAGGATTGAATTATATTGCAGCTTTTCTTTTTCCTCTGATTATTTCCTCTTTGTTGCCCCTGTCCTACTTCTACTCAGGCCTGTGCATAACACTTTCTCACTTTCTCTTACAAATACCTGCTCCACAAACTATCTGTTCTAGTCAAATTAATCCAAAGCTTTCTTACTGCCTTAGTTTTGTTTACATCCCTCCACTCAGTTTATCTGATTTGTACTCAGTGTTCAAAGCACAACCCAAAAGATCTCTCCTCTGGGAAGTCATTCCTCACCTCCTTTCCTGTCACAAACCCCAGAGTACAGTGTAAGCATTTGACATTTCTACGTTATAGATTTCACAGTAACTATAATACTAGCAACTTTAGTGAAGCATTTAGAGAGAATTATTAAACAGTTGGTTCAACCACTGACATATGGACTGAATGACATAGTTTCTGTATAGTTTCAAAAATTCTATAAATCTTAGCAGCTATTCCCAGGGAATGCATGAAGACAAGCAGAACTTGAAGTGAGAGTATTTCAAAGTCTTGGTTGAAATTCAAAGGATTGTTAGTACTGTATGCAATCAAATGGAAAATTTTCAAGGTGGTATAAGTCTTTTCCTCAAATTTCCCCTAATAGGAGACTAGACTGTGTTCTAGGGACATTTATATTGTATTTTAAGAGGAAAATTGATGTTCTTTTTTTGATGGCAGTATGTTTTTTGGAATATTATTCTCCATTGCCATGCTTTGCAAGTGGGCTCACTAGAGTGTTCACGTCTTACCAACTGTGTAACCTTGAATCTATCACTTTAATTTTTAGACCCTTAATTCTGTCATCTGTAAAAAGATGTTAGTAGTAATAACATTATCTATATTACATGGTTATTAGGAGCAAATTAAAAAACGTATATAAAAGTACAGTGCAAATTTTTAGTATATGAACTATTTTGCTCATGAAAAAAGGTCAGATCTAGTGCCAAAAGTATCCATAGTGGCAGGAGGCTAGCACCCAAAGCCTACTAGATGAGCCCAGTCACTTTTTATGTGAGAAATTCACACTAATTGAAAAATTAGTATATGTTTTCTTAAAATAATACCTTTTGTAGAAGGAATTTATATTCCTTTTAAAAAGTAAGTTGGCATAATAACTTGATGGTTTTTATAGCTGAGTGATGAGTACATAGGGGCCCAATGTATTCTGTTTATCTGTGTCTATTTAAATTTTTCTACAATAAAAGTTTAAAAATTACACATATAATGCAAATTTTAGAGAGGTCTAATTATAGATCACATAAGATTTGGTCTCACATGACTCCCCCCTTTCTAGGCACAGATTTCCTAGGCTGGATATATTCATTGTCTTCCATGTCAGTCAATACCTAGCACCAATGGAAGGACACAGCGTGGCCCTTTAGAAAGCAGGGTAAAGAACGTTTATACTCCCCAAAATGAAACTAATCCAAATGACAGAGCTGGCAAGAAGAAAGGAGAAGCCAGCCTGTCACATTCCACAAATGCACTGAGGAAAGATGATTCCCCACTAGGGCCTGAATCCAATGATCCTCCATTTGAGAATTCTTAGTGTGCGTGACCCTCGAGGGTACATAAGCAGAATTTTGAAAAAGTTAATTGATAAGTATTTAATAGAAGAATAAATGTCTCCTGGAAGAAATCATTTAGGTTTATACCCATGGCTCTTAACTGAGCAGTACAGCATTGCTGGGGTTGGAGTGGTTGGGATTTACTTTGGTCTTTTAGAACTTTTAAGGTATAAACATTTAAACCAACAACTGTCCAAAGATTCAGAGCAAATCATTCTTTCACATAAGAATAATCTATTTCTGATCAGTTGCTCAACTATCTACTAAATCAGTGTTTTATTTGACCTCAACACCTCTCTATTAGTCATAGAATGTTAGAACTGGAGAGGGATTTTGGTTCTATAAAAGGCATTGTTTGGACAAGAATTTACTCCAAATTTTTCTCTGGAATTCTACTACATATAATTGTATATGTTTAAAAGTGTGGAAATATAGACCACCCAAATGAAAACAAAAGATATTCAGAGCTTGCATAGCTATGGAGTCAGCCACCATCACTAGCATTTGGCAGATATTCAAAAGCAGGCAAGGGAGTGGGAAAGCTTTATATTGAAAAAGAGAAGGCTTCAGATTGGCCCTGATTGCAGGTTGTTGGCATGGGGAAGTTGGAGGTGGATATCTTATTGGCTTGGGGACCATATTTAGCTTTCTCTGGTTGGTCCTGAGTTGGAAGCAGGGCAAAAATTAGGGAAGCTACTGTTCATTGCCCAGGTCCTTACTGTTCTAGGCTCACTGCTGCAGAGCTTGTGATTTGGCTTCTTGGGCTGGTTGCAGAGTTTGTGGGTCAGAGTTCTCTTGTCATTTGTGGTCTGGCTGTTGTCTCTTTGTGTATTCAGCCTCTCAGAGGGTACTGTTCAGGATATACATACAGGTGTAATTAAACGAGTACTTCTTCTCAAGAAACTTGCAGTAAAAGAGGGCAGAAAAAATATTGTACATAGATGATTATAGTAATACAGAGTGTGTCATTAAGAAGGGAATAAAGAAAGTCATAATAGTCACTCTGAAAATAAGGCAGTTTCACTTCATAGTAGTGCATTTTTGGAAATACTGTCATCCCAGGGTCTGGGAAGGGGAACAAATGTTGACAAGCACATGTTCCATCAAAGAAGTAGCATTCTCGTTTTATAGAGAAAAAGACTAAGGTTCAGAGACGTTAAATTACTTTCCTAAAATCATTCAGCAAATGACAGAGCTGAGATTTCCACCTGGTTCTCTTGGACAAGAAAGGTCATTTACTTCACTTCTAGTTCCCAAAAGTGTATACTTATGAGGGTATCAAAATGTTAAGGGAGCAGATGCAGTTATAAAAATATATTTAATATTTTAATTTTTTCTTTAAGACCATAAAAAAAAAAGCTATTGTTTTCATTATTCGAGCTACAGAAAATAAATCTCCACAAGTTTCTCTTGACTGGTGGAGACCTGCAGAAATTGATGACTGTCAATGGAGGTGTTTCAAATTGTCTAGGAGTCTGTGGAATTTGCATTTGTCAAAGGGGAAATAGTTTTAATGATTCAACGTCACTGCACTTTAGTGTAATTATGTAGAACTAAATTTGCTGATTTTTTTTTTTACTTATCACATTTTTTTTATTGAAGTATAGTTGATTTACAATATTGTGTCAATCTCTGCTGTACAGCAAAGTGACTCAGTTATACACATACATTCTTTTTTATATTCTTTTCCATTATGGTTTATCACAGGATATTGAATATAGTTCCCTGTGCTATACATTAGGACCTTGTTGTTTATCCATTCTAAATGTAATAGTTTGCATCTACTAACCCCAAACTCCCAATCCTTCCCTCCCTTCCCCCCATCGCCCTTGGCAACCACAAGTCTGTTCTCTGTGTCTATGAATCTGTTTCTTGTTTGTAGGTTCATTTGTGCCATATTTTAGGTTCCACATATAAGTGATATCATATGGTATTTGTCTTCCTCTTTCTGACTTACTTCACTTAGTATGATAATCTCTAGTTGCATCCATGTTGCTGCAAAAAGTCATTATTTTGTTCTTTTTTATGGCTGAGTAGTATTTTATTGTATATATGTACCATATCTTCTTTATCCATTCATCTGTCAATGGACATTTAGGTTGTTTCCACATTTTGGCTATTGTGAACAGCACTGCTATGAACATAGGGGTACATGTATCTTTTTGAATTATAGTTTTGTCCGGGTATATTCCCAGGAGTGGGATTGCTGATCATATGGTAATTCTATTTTTAGTTTTCTGAGGAACCTCCATACTGTTTTCCACAGTGGCTGTACCAACTTACGTTCCCACCAACAATGTAGGAGGTTCCCTTTTGTTCACACCCTCTCCATTTGTTATTTGTAGACTTTCTAATGATGGCCACTATGACTGGTGTGAGTGATACCTCATTGTAGTTTTGATTTGCATTTCTCTAATAATTTTTGATGTTGAGCATCTTTTCATGTGCCTCCTGGCTATCTGTATGTCTTCTTTGGAGAAATGTCTATTAAGGTCTTCTGCCCATTTTTCGATTGGGTTGTTTGTTTTGTCATTGTTGAGTTGTATGAGCTGTTTGTATATTTTGGAGATTAAGCTCTTGTCTGTTGCATCATTTTCAAATGTTTTCTCCCATTCCGTAGGTTGTCTTTTCATTTTTTTATTTTTATGGTTTCCTTTGCAGTGCAAAAGCTTGTAAATTTGGTTAGGTCCCATTTGTTTATTTTTGTTTTTATTTCTATTGCCTTGGGAGACTGACCTAAGAAAACATTGGTATGATTTATGTCAGAGAATGTTTTGCCTATGCTCTCTTCTAGGAGTTTTGTGGTGACATGTCTTATGTTTAAGTCTTTAGGCCATTTTGAGTTTATTTTTGTGCATGGTGTGAGGGTGTGTTCTAACTTCCTTGATTTACATGCAGCTGTCCAACTTTCCCAGCACCACTTGCTGAAGAGACTGTCTTTTTCCCATTTTATATTCTTGCCTCCTTTGTCGAAGATTAATTGACCATAGGTGTGTGGGTTTATCTCTGGGCTCTGTATTCTGTTCCATTGATCCATATGTCTGTTTTTGTTCCAGTACCACACTGTTTTGATTACTGTAGGTTTGTAGTATTATCTGAAGGTTGGGAGAGTTATGCCTCCTGCTTTTTTTTTTTTTTTTCCTCAGGATTGCTCTGGCAATTCTGGGTCTTTTGTGGTTCCGTATAAAGTTTTGGATTATTTGTTCTAGTTCTGTGAAAAATGTCATGGGTAATTTGATAGGGATTGCATTAAATCTAGCTTCGGGTAGTATTGCCATTTTAACAGTATTAATTCTTCCAATCCAAGAGCATGGAATATCTTTCCATTTCTTTTAATCCTCTTTTATTTCCTTTATTAATGTTTTGTAGTTCTCAGCATATAAGTCTTTCCCCTCCTTGGTTGGGTTTATTCCTAGGTGGTTTTTTTTGGTATGATTTTAAAAGATATTGTCTTTTTGCATTCCCTTTCTGATATTTCATTGTTAGTGTAAAGGAATCCAACTGATTTCTGAATGTTAATCTTGTATCCTGCTACTTTGCTGAATTCATTTATTAGATCTAGTAGCTTTTGTGTGGAGTCCTTAGGGTTTTCTATATTTTGTATCATGTCATCTGCATATAATGACAGTTTCACCTCTTCCCTTCCAGTTTGGATACCTTTTATTTCTTTTTCTTGTCTGATTGCTGTGGCTAGGACTTCCAATACTATGTTTCTAGAAAGTTGTCCATTTCTTCTAGGTTGTCAAATTTGTTGGCATATAATTGTTCTAGTATTCTCTTATGGTATTTTGTAATTCTGCTGTCAGTTGAAATTTCTCCTTTTTTATTTCTTTCTCTTTTTTTTTTTTTTGGTTTTCTTTTCTTCTTGGTGAGCCTGGCCAGAGGTTTGTCAATTTTGTTTACCCTTTCAAAGAACCAGCTCTTGGTTTTGTTGATTTTTTTTCTATGTTTTTAGTCTCTATTTTATTTATTTCCTTCCTTCTGCTGACTTCAGGTTTAGTTTCTTCTTCTTTTTCTAATTCTTTTAGGTGATAGGTTGGGTTGTTTACTTGAGATTTTCTTGTTTTTTGATGAAAGCCTGTATCGCTATGAACTTCCCTCTAAGAACTGCCTTTGATGCATCCCATAGATTTTGTATGGTTGTATTTTTAATTGTCATTTGTCTCAAGGTATTTTTTAATTTCATTTTTGATTTCTGTGTTGACCCATTGGTTTCTTAGTAGCATGTTATTTAGTCTCCATGTAATCGTTTTTTTCTCATTTCTTTTCCTGTTGTTGGTTTCTAATTTCATGCCATTGTGGTCATTGAAGATGCTTGAAATAATTTCTATACTCTTAAATTTGTTGAGGTTAATTTTTTGCCCTAGGGTGTGGTCAATCCTAGAGAATGTTCTGTGTGAGCTTAAAAAGAATGTATATTCTGGGTTTTTTTGGATGTAGTGTCCTGAAAATATCAACTAAGTCTACCTGTTCTATTGTATCATTTAGGACCTCTGTTGCCTTATTGATTCTCTGTGTGGAAGATCTGTCCATTTATGTGAGTGGAGTGTTAAAGTCTCCAATATTATTATATTCCTATCAATTTCTCCCTTTATGTCTGTTAGTATGTGTTTTATGTATTTGGGTGCTCCTATATTAGGTGCATATATGTTGATGATGTAAAATCCTTTTCTTGTATTGATCCTTTTATCATTATATAGTGTCATTCTTTATCTTTCTTTATAGACTTTGCTTTAAATTCTATTTTCTTCATATGAGTACTACAACTCCTGCTCTTTCTTGTCATTTCTGTTTGCATGAAATATCTTTTTCTATCCCCTCACTTTTAATCTATGTGTGTCCTTTGCCCTAAGGTTGGTCTCTTGTAGGCAGCATATTGTAGGCTCTTGTTTTTTATATCCAGTCTGCCACTCTGTGTCTTTTGATTGGAGCGTTTAGTCCATTGACATTTAAGGTAATTATTGATACATATGTATTTATTGCCATTTCAAACCTTGTTTTCCAGTTGGTTCTTTGTTCTTTGTTCCTTTCTTTTTCTTTCTTTTTTTTTTTGTTTGTAGTTTGATGATTTCCTCTTACTTTATCCTTGTGTTCTCTTCTTTTATGTTTTTGTGAATCTATTGTATGTTTTTGATTTGTTGTTGCCCCGTTTTTCAGTTATGTTAACCCCTTTCTATATCCTCTTGCTTTAGACTGATCATGATATAGACTCAGACACATTCTTAAAAAAAGAAAAAGAATCTGCATTTTCTTACTCACCTTCCCCACATTTTATGATTTTGATGTCCCTTTTTACATCTTCATCTTTATCCTTCTGCTGTTCCTTATGTTTATCATTGCTTTCAGAAATAGGTTTTTATTTTCTTTTTGATTTGTATACTGGCTAATTTAAGTGATTTATTTTCCAATTGTGATTTCCTCCTTCCTGTTTCTTCTTGCTTTTTTTCTTTAGAGATGACCTTTCAATATTTCTTTTAGAATAGGATTCATATTGCTGTATTCTCTTAATTTTTGCTGGTCTGAGAAATTATTTCTGCTCTTATTCTAAATGATAATCTTGCTGGGTAGAGTATTCTAGGTTGCAGATTTTTCTCTTTCAAGACTTTGGGTATATTTTGCCACTCCTTTCTGGCCTGCAGTGTTTCTGTAGAGAAATCAGCTGATATTCTTATGGGGGTTCCCTTGTAAAGAAATCTTTGTTTTTCTCTTGCTGCCTTTAGAATCCTCTCTTTATCTTTGACTTTTGCCATTTTTATTATAATATGTCTTGGTGTAGGTCTGTTTGGGTTCATCTTGTTTGGGACCCTCTGTGCTTTCTGTATCTGGATATCTGTTTCCTTCTTTAGGTTTGGGAAGTTTTCAGCCATAATTTTTGAAAATACGTTTTCATTCCCCCTTTCTCTTTCTTCTCCTTCTGGGATACTATTATGCATAGATTGTTCCACTTTATATTATTCCATAGGTCTCATATTGCTTTCAGTTTTTTTTTTTTTTTAATTTGGCTTTCTCTCTTCTGTTTTGATAGGGTAATTTCCATTAGTCTATCTTCCAGGTCACTTATTCTTTCTTCTGCATTATTCATTCTGCTGTTCATTGCCTTGAGCTCAGCTTTCATCTCGGCAAATGAATTTTCTAATTTTTCTTGGCTCATCCTTACAGTTTCTAGTTCCTTTAACAGTAATCTGAATTTCTGTCAATAGCCTTTCTTAATTCCCTCAGTATTCTCATTACCTTCTTTTTGAACTTGGTGTCTGTTAGACAGAAGAGGTCTGTTTCATTGATTGTTCTTTCAGAGGAATTTTCTTGGTTTTTTAAACTGAGAGTGGTTCCTATGCTTCTTCATTTTGCTTGTATTTCTTTTAGTCTGTGAGTTTAGGAGAAATAATTATCTCTTGTAGACTTGGAGGGCTATTTATAAGTGGGATTGTCCCTGTGTGGCTTGTGTGGGTTTAATATTTTTTTGGCATGAGAGCAGTTTTTGGTTTGGATGCTTTCCATCTCTTTTCTCAGCGTGTGCTGGCTGTTATCCCCTTGATACGGAGTGTGCAGGTGTGCAGGTGCATGGCTTGCACAGGCTCCCAGGATGGCATGGGCAGAGGTTGGCTCCTGGTTGCAGGTCCCTCCGCAACAGAGCTGGCAGGTCACGTGCCCCTAGGGAAGTTGGCCCCGGATCGTGGGACCCTAGGTGGCAGTGGGTCGTGCACCCCCACGGAGGTGGGGGCAGTGGTTGGCACTGGGTCTCAGGACCCTCAGCAGAGGCGGGCCTCACATGCTTCCGGGGAACTTTTCCCTGGATCGCGGGGCCCTCAGCAGTGGCCATGGTGGGTTGTGCACACTGCGGGTGGTGGGGGAAGTGGTCGGCACCAGGTTGCAGAGTCCTCGGCAGTGGTGGCAGGCCACACATGCCCCCGGGAAGTGGGCCCCAGATCGCAGGACCCTCAGCAGTGGCAGGCCATGCAGGCTCCTGGGAAGGTGGGGGCAATGACCTGCACCCACTGACAGAACCCGCAGCAGTGGCGGCAGCACTCCACGCCTACCTCTGGAGTCCAGGATGGCAGCCGAGGCTTGCAACTGCCCCTGGAGCTCATGGAGGCAGTGCCTTGTCACCTGCGAGTGCACAGAGAAAGAAGCTCCTATGGCAGGCCCACCTCCTCCTCTCACGCCCCCCGAGCAGTGGTCCCTTGCCTCTCTGGCAGGCCCAGGCTTCTTCCTGGACTCCCTCCATTGTGGCGCACTGCACCCTAGCCCCCTCAGGCTGTCTTCACACAGCCAACCCCAGACCCCTCCCCAGCGTCTGACCTCTGAAGCCCGAGCCTCAGTACCCAGCCCCCACCTCCCCCAGCGGGCGAGTGAACAAGCTTCTCAGGCTAGAGAGTGCCAGTTGGCACCAACCCTCTGTGCAGGTCTCTCTCTGCTTTGCCCTCTGCACACCTGTTGCTGTGCTCTCCTCTGAGGCTCTGAAGTGCCCCCTCTGTCCCTGCCAGTGAGAGGACTTCCCAGTGTGCGGAAGCCTGCCTTTCCTCTTTCACAGCCCTCACAGAGGTGCAGGTCCCATCCACATTCCTTCCTCTCTCTCTCTGCGAATTTAGAGATCAGATCAAGATGACAGAAGAGTAGCACGTGGAGCTCACCTTCTCTCCACAGATACATCAACAATAAATCTACCTGTGGAACGACTCTCACAAAACATCTACCTAACACTGACAGTAGAACTCAGACTCCCAAAAGGGCAGGAATATCTCCAAGTAACTGTGTAGGGCAAAAGAAAAAAGAAAAAAAAAAACAACGAGAGAGAGAGAGGAAGGAATGTGGATGGGACCTGCACCTCTGTGAGGGCTGTGAAAGAGTAAAGGTTTCTGCATACTGGGAAGTCCTCTCACTGGCAGGGACAGAGGGGGCGCTTCAGAGCCTCAGAGGAGAGCACAGCAACAGGTGTGCAGAGGGCAAAGCAGAGAGAGACCTGCACAGAGGGTTGGTGCCAACTGGCGCTCCGTAGCCTGAGACACTTGTTCACTCGCCCGCTGGGGGAGGTGGGGGCTGGGTACTGAGGCTCGGGCTTCAGAGGTCAGACGCCGGGGAGAGGACTGGGGTTGACTGTGTGAAGACAGCCTGAGGGGGCTAGGGTGTAGTGCACCACAATGGAGGGAGTCCAGGAAGAAGCCTGGGCCTGCCAGAGAGGCAAGGGACCACTGCTGGGGGGGCGTGAGAGGAGGAGGTGGGCCTGCCATAGGAGCTTCTTTCTCTGTGCACTCGCAGGTGACAAGGCACTGCCTCCATGAGCTCCAGGGGCAGGTGCAAGCCTCGGCTGCCATCCTGGACTCCAGAGGTAGGCGTGGAGTGCTGCCGCCACTGCTGCGGGTTCTGTCAGTGGGTGCAGGTCATTGCCCCCACCTTCCCAGGAGCCTGCATGGCCTGCCACTGCTGAGGGTCCTGCGATCTGGGGCCCACTTCCCGGGGGCATGTGTGGCCTGCCACCACTGCCGAGGACTCTGCAACCTGGTGCCGACCACTTCCCCCACCACCCGCAGTGTGCACAACCCACCATGGCCACTGCTGAGGGCCCCGCGATCCGGGGAAAAGTTCCCCGGAAGCATGTGAGGCCCACCTCTGCTGAGGGTCCTGAGACCCAGTGCCAACCACTGCCCCCACCTCCATGGGGGTGCACGACCCACTGCCACCTAGGGTCCCACGATCCGGGGCCAACTTCCCTAGGGGCACGTGACCTGCCAGCTCTGTTGCGGAGGGACCTGCAACCAGGAGCCAACCTCTGCCCATGCCATCCTGGGAGCCTGTGCAAGCCATGCACCTGCACACCTGCACACTCCGTATCAAGGGGATAACAGCCAGCACAC